GTGTGTGTGTGTGTGTGTGTGTGTGTGTGTGTGTGTGTGTGTGTGTGTGTGTGTGTGAATTCTAGTGGTATTTATGCGTTTATTCATCAATCAATTATTGTTATTTTTCCTCCTACGCCTTGTTGTTGTTGTTAATGTTGACGACAACGTTGTTTTTCCTCATCATTCCCCCTCTTTCTTTCTTTCTTTCTTTCTTGTTTGTTTTTCCATAGAGAGAATAAGTGTGACTTTCCTCACACCGTATCGTTTTTTTGTTTGTTTTTTTTTTTTGTCTTTTTCTCTGGCCATTGTATTTGGTTGAAGGGAAGGCTGATTGCGGGAACCAAAGAGAGATCTGATAAATAGAGGAATAAGAAGCGAAGGCTGATAAGATCTTGGCGAAGAAAGGGTTGATTAAGCAAGGTAAACATTTGATGATGAGAACCATAAAGTCTATGTGTATGTGATTGCTTCATGGATTAAGAAAGATATTCTTAATTTTAACTTTGCGGTTATTATCTGCAGGAAATTCTTTAATAATCATTTAACCGTTTTATGTTTTAATTGTTTGATTTATTTATCTATATTTCGATTAAAATACACATAACATCTTTTGATATTTCGTTTCACAAGAGTATATCTGTATACAAGTGTGAATATATATTTCTTGTCTTGTAATTGGCTGTTTGACATAACCAGCAGTAACACAGATTCCCTACTATCAACAATGCACTAACGACTTAATTACTGTTCTATTAACAAGGAAACACATAATTAAGATCACGAAAACTTACTTTATTATACTCCTCTCTCATTCTTTTTTCTCTCTCCTCCCCTTTCCATCTTTTTTTTCGTATAACCCATAAGAGTTAGAATCCGCATCAAAGTAATGGATTTTGAGCCGTAAAAGATTATTGGAGACTTGATTGAGACTACCAAGGTTTAGTTAGGACCAGCGAAGGACTAAGGACACGATGATGCCTTAGTGAGCATTTAAAGTCTGGCCAGGGCATCAAATTTCATCCGAGTCATAAAAATCCGCCATAGGAGATATAACTTTTTTAAACTTTTTTTTTTTTTTTTTTTTTACGTATAAAATGGTGATGGGGAAAAAAGACATCAGATTTTTATTTTATTTTATTTTATTTAACGATATGAAATCTTTTTCTTTTCTTCACAAGTCTAAAATGATGGGAAAAAAAGACCAGATTTTTTAATTTTATCTTATTTACACGGATAAAATGTGGGTAAAAAATATCAGATGTCCTTTTTTTCTTTTCTTTATACATATGAATTGTTGACGGAGAAAAAACTTTTTTTTTTGTTCATACAAAAAAGAAGCTAGAAAAACAACAACAACAAAAACAGACAAACATAAAGATACACCGTGACTGAAATAATCAGATAAATAGATACTGATAGACAAACTTACAACAATAGATAAATAATTAAGATGACACATGATAGAAATAGTCAAAGTAACAGCAGAGTATATTCCAATTGATAAAGATAATCGGATATAGATTGATAGAGAAAATTAGAGAGAGCGAGAGACAGAGATAGAGAAATAAGATTATAGAGAAAAATGGCGCTATTGTCTCAGTAGCTCGAAGTAAGATTAAGTGAAAGCAGGTAATTAATACTGCTCTCCGATTGTGTATATCTATTCTTTTTTTTTTTTTTTTTTTTTTTTTTTGTTATCCATTAATTTCTCGGTCTATCTCTCTGTCCCGCGTTTCTCTCTCGTTCATTCTTTCTTTGTCTATTCTCCTCCTTTCGCTTGCTTTCTTTTATGTGTCTCTCCATCCTCCAAACCCTTACTTTTATCCCACCTTCCCTACTTTTACATTTATAAGTGGACTTGTTTATTTTTTTATCATCTTCCCCTTCTCCCCTACTTTTTTCTTACTTTTCTCCCTTTCCCTCCCTCACTTTACGTTTATGTGTACTTATCAGCCTATCTTTTTATTACTCTTCTCTCTCTAATTCCCTTACTTTTCTCTCCCTTCCTTTTACATCTGTCTTGATCACCCCTCTGCCTCCTCTTCCTCACTTTTCTCTCCCCCTCCTTCTTTTTACACAATTATGTGTACTTATCTCTATCTCTTCATCATGTGTACTCCTATCTCTTCATCACTTTCTCTCCTCCTTTCCTCCCCCATTTACATTTATAAGTGTACTTATCTCTGTCTTTTCATTCCCTCCTTCCAACCCGCACTTTTCTCTCCGTCTCCTCCTTTCCACATTTATAAGTGTACTTATCAGCCTATCTCTTCAACTCCTTCTCTCCCTCCTTTTCCTCACTTTTTTTTTCTCTCCCCTTCCCCTTCCTTTTACATTTATCAGTGTACTTGTCTCTCTCTCTTCATCCCTTCTCTCCCTCCTTTTTCTCACCTTTTATTCTCTCCCCTTCTCTCCTTTTACATTTATAAGTGCTTTTATCTCTCTCTTCATCACTTTATCTTCCCCCTTTTCCACCCTTCCCCTTCCCTTCTTTTACATCTATAAGTGCACTTATCTC